CCGAATATTTATTATATGGATAATAAGATAGATAGAAAGATAGATGTTACCGCGATACTATTATTTCTATTGGTTAGGAGGGTCACTTCAAATTACAAAAGCAGTCTTTTTTTTTTGCAGTGCAACCCTCAGGGCCTGTAATTATGCTAAATTTTATACCTTTTTTTGTATTTTGCTTCTTTTTTAAAATATTTTTTTTCGGCGGCTGTATTTTGTAGGCGGGTGTATTTTGTCAGTGGATGTATTTTGTCGGCGGATGTATTTTGTAGGCGGGTGTATTTTATCGGCGGATGTATTTTGAATGAAAAAGTATGAACAGACACTTCTGTAAAGGAATTGAGTCTTTGCCACAAACTCAAATTTTCTAATACCTATATCTTTGCAACCCAATGCAAATAATCTAAGTTTGAAATGTCAAAGGTTTGCACCATCGGGTGGAAAAGATATATAGGGGCTAGAAAATTTGAGTAAATGAAATATACTTTGCCCTGGTTAACCAAGGATCACTGCAAACTAGACAAAATGAGAGAGTACGACTTTGTGGCCTCGCAGCTTCTCTAGCTTTGATTTTAAGCATATGCGTATTAGCAAAATAAATCATCTGAGCTGAAAACTTTAGAATGAGATATACTTAATCACGATCGCTTAATCTGAGTATCCAATGGACACACTTTTGATTTTCTTCTTAAACCGTTCTTTCTTGGACATTGTAGAGAAAAGTCAAAACCGTTTTTACGAAATTAGTCCCTCCCGTTTCTGTATATTATTCTTAAATGGCGCGCAAAATTTCAAATTTATCGGCTTCATATATGCGACTCTGATTGGTTGAATTTTATTAATTTTTCAGGATACAAGTACAAGATTAAGTTAAAAAGAGAGGATCAAGCATTAATCTCGATATCCACCAATTCTAAAGTTTACAGCTTTAGTTACATATTAAAAGTTAAACATCTAAAACATCTTTTTCTTCTCAATTGCTCTTCAATAACAAGATTTAAAATAAGATTTCAAACTTAAATATACCTCAGTTTGACGTGGGGTGACCTTGACAAAACCTCGAGAAAATTGAACTCACCAAAAACATTTTTTTTAAAAGTGCTCGATATAATACAAAATGTGTGAGATCAATTAAAGCCAGGAAAGAGTAAAATGTTTGCAACTACACCAAATTACGACTTTGTGGTCCGAGGTTCTTCTAGTTTTGATTGTATTAGAGAAGCAAATTCATTTGATTATATTTTAGAAATTCAAAAAATTAAAGAATTTATGATTTAAAAAATAGAAGATTACTTTTTTTGTTAATAGTTTCATACTTGGTGTCCGAAATTTCTAAATGATTTCGGAAGATCAATTTTAAGATCTATACGTTTGGATAATATGCATCAGTGTTCGTATAGTATCCTAATAGGATAAAAGTTTTCAATTTTGAAAATTCACATAATAGTTTCCTATGACCAGAATAGCTCATATATTGTTTTTGTCTAAATGGATTCCATGTCAGGTTGTGACATCCGTCTTGTGTTTACTTTTTCGCCCAAAGACAGTGTACTGCAGTACAAAAAATGCGTACGCTTCTTAAATAACTTTCCTTGCATTAGTAACTTGGATACCACAAACCAATTATGTAGAAAATATTTGTTGCAAAATAAATTTTCTTTTATTAATGATTGTTAACTTTTTCTGTTTAAAAATTTTATATATTTTTTTGTTTAATGTTTTATTTCAAAATAACATCGTAATATCTAACAGATACTAATAATACTGTATTTATAATATGATATAATATAATTTATATTTAACAAGGATACATTATACATTATAAATACACATATAATAATTATATTAAAGGGACTGTTAGAGTAAGTTTAAGTGACCCTTCATGCAAAGATGGCGTTGTCCGATACACAACGGTACCCTTAAAACATTTATCCGATCCTTCAATAATGTGAAATATATTTTCTCTTTTTAGGTTTAAAAGAGTTACATTTTAATAATTCCTTTATTGTTTCCTACAGTAGAAATGCGCAAGTCACTTTTTTAGGGAAACCACAATTAAAAATACTTTTGAATTATAAATATTGATATATAATTTATACTTTATCAGACATCGCTACTAAAAGTACCGTAGTACATTCATATTTTGATTATTATTGTTTAAAATAAATTTTATACTCTAATATTCTATTAATCCATATAGTTGTGCACCCTGTCAGAGACCTTTTTATACTAAACTTTAGTTTCTGTTTTATCCAATCAAAGGTTTACATTCTTTAAGGTTGCAAAGAAAAAGGGATTCAAACTATTTAAAGTTTGACACAAATAAATTTTTGGTGATTTAAAAAAAAATTTAAATTGGCAAATTTTCAGTTTACAAAGTGATTTTTCAACAACATTTTAAAAATATATGACTAGCACTATAACTGGGCAAATTGGCGACATAAACAAGATTTTTCTTTAAAGAGCCGTAAGCGTAATTTCAATCAAACCTTAATGCAAAGAAGGCATGAAGGTAGAGAGATCTATCTGTCTAAACATATCGAAACCTGCTTGAATTCCTCCGATTGCGACTGTTCGCTGTGTACAACTTCTTGCAAACAAAGTGTTTAGCAATCAGAATCGTTTCAGTAGATTAATAGAAATATGTCCGACATCCTTAATCAAAGGTTTAAAGAGTATCAGTGTGAATCGGGGGTGCTACTTTTTGAATGAAAGGTCACTTGAATTTACGCTTACAGGCATTTATATTTACAATTCTAATACTTAACAAGGATTGCTTAGGTTGTTTAGGTATCGTGAGTTACTAATAAAACAGAAGGTTTTACTGTGTACAATGTTTAAAACTGTTTGAAATAACAAAAAATACTAAGAATCTGAACACTGGTCTGGAAATTGGATTGATTGACAAAATCATGACTTGTTTGTTTTTTACTATCTATATTTAATAATATATTTTTAAAAATTTGCTAACTTTGAGAACAAAGCAATATATATCAATATACTGTATGATTTTTACAACAAATTAAGTAAATCTATATTACATAATTGAAACTTTTAAGGATTATACCAAGTTTTATAATAATATTTTAACACATTAAAAAAAAAACTATTTTTTATATTTCCTTTTCTACAAAAAGATGGGTTCTTCCGTTAAAAAAGAAGATTATACCGGTTTAAGAAATTTAATAACAGTTTGAAAACTGTTTAACTATTATTTTTAAAAGCCGTTATTTTCACTTTAATTACATTAAAAAAATTGCGAGGAACAGATGCTATGAAAATTATGCAGATACAAAACAAAAAGAAATAAAAAGGCTTTTTTCATACTACTAGTCCAGTATCACGGGCAGCCGTAGTACATTTGAATTTCAGGGCCGGGTCAACCTTTCCAGTTCCAGTTTGTACTGTATCGCACAGACATTAGGTAAATAAAGCAGACTCTCAATAGGATTAGCCGGTGCAACCAGGTTGACGCAGTCAGACATTAGGCTGAATTTACTTTTTCTAAAGAGTCAGAGGTGCGTGGATAGTATATATCTAATATATAATATAAAAGTTGCAATCAAGGGCGTATACAGGATTTTGTACAAGGGGAGTGTTAAGCATTTTTAAACTTTCAAGCCGGGGGGAGTGGGGAGGGGCAGGCACAGCCGCCATAGTCCAAATTCTATATTCGCCCCCGGTTGAATTATATACTTCTATTTTTCAAAACTACTTTTTAAATAATTTTTCAAAAATATTTTGAAACAAAAAATTTTCCCCAGAAAACAAATCTGCTGTATTTTTGTCCATGGAAAAATATTTAAAAAATTTACATTTTTGGAAAAATCACCAGTTAGATAAAAATGAGAGTTCTTTGGTAAGTGTCTTCAGTTGAGTTTGCTTAGACATTTATTCAAAGAGAATAGAATATATATTAGAGTGGAATTTAGAGAATCTTTCGGTATGCATTTTTTCAGTCCCTTTCAGCCTGAAAGGGGGTTCAAAGTGTACAGATCATGTAAATGTTCACAAATTTTATGCATTAGAGTACATTAATACAGTATGTTCCCTAGACTATTCATTTCAATTTAGAGTTTTTTTAACTGTTAAATAAACTTTACAATGAATTAGGTGCATAAAAACCATCATTTGATTTATAGTTATAACGGAAAATCATCGTTTGTAAAGTGGAAGGCATAGAGTCTATGTAAAATGATCATTGGTCAATTATAAAACCAGCCTATTTCATAATTTGGTTTTCTTTTAATATTAATTTTAGATTTTCTATAAAATGATATTCCAGGGCCGAACAGGTTATATAGCGCAAATATGTGAAGAACACCTGCAGTATGGAAACAGTACAACAAAATGGCCGTTTTACACTTTTTTCCAGTAAATTCCCCTCTAATATATATTCTATTCTCTTTGCATTTATTGTTTTCTTTTAGTTTTTAAATTAGCTTGTTGGATTGGACTGAACACCGAACAATGAATCATTTTAAATTAATTTCTATAAACAGTCAATAAATACGAAAAAGTGCAAACATAACAAAATCAATTTGTAGAAATGTTCTCTCTAAAATCGGTAAATACGATGAAGAAACAAAAGAATGGCATTAAAGATTCAAATTATAAGAATTTAACTGTCATAACTGTTATGAATTACTATATATTAAGTTTTTTATTTCTTATTGAAACAAAGATGATTTTAATTTTGCTTTTTAGAAGTTCTGTCTGCACATTCATTTGATATTAAATAAACTCTCTACAATCTACATTAACAGTTTTTATCTGATTTTCTTATTTTCACTTAATTTGATTTTATTCTCAAGAAGAAAGGATGTTTCACCAGGGTTGTATGTTTTTACTATTTAAAATTCTTAAGTTTAATATTGATGAAATTTCTTTTTGACTTTCATTAGCTAACCTTATGTAGCTAAAACCTTTTAATTTTAAAGTTTTAGAACTGGTAAGCTTTGTTAAAATGAACATTTCTAAGTTTCATTGAAACCTTGAGCACATTACTATTACTCTCACTAATACTGGGATGCTTGATTTGGTGTACCGTCCTGTTTTTCCCGTATGTATGTATGCTGTACATCTTGCTCTCGTTGCCTAAATATCGGTCTGATACTTCAAATGAACAGTTTTCATTGTAAGTTTAAATTAAACTTTTGTTGTGTGAATAGTTGGTCTAGTACTAGTTGGAGCTGTGGACAAGGTTCTTGTTAAGTCACACATTAATGATCTCTAAAAAAAATATTATTTTTTAAAAATAATGCCCTAATGCGTTATACAGGTTTACCCACAAAGTGTGAGGCATCAGAGACGACTGTCGGAATATAAACTGCCTGTTTGCATATATTTAGAACTCCTTGAAAATGCAAATATTTTTGGCACAATTTTTAAAAATGCCGTTAAAGGACTATATTCATGGCTAAATACTTATTTTAACTTTAGAAACGTCTTATTAAATGAGATTCAGGTCGTCTTTACAGTGTTATTCTTTGTGGGTATAAGCCTTGTAAATTAAAGAGTGACACATATTTCAAGGCTTAGTTTCATTTGCCATAATACTTTTGCCATAAATACTTTTACCATAATTACATTTGCCATAAGTAACAATTGCCATAAATTACACTTGCCATAAGTTACACTTGCCATAATGGTTACACTTGCCATAATTACACTTGCTATAATTACACTTGCCATAATTAAAATTTGGTTAGATATTTATTTTTTAATTACAAATTAAATATAAATTACAATCTAATTCAAAGACAGTTCGAATTCGGGTTCGAATTGTAACCTAGCACATTTTAGCCGAACATTTCCAATAATTTACTTCTGTAGACAAGGCATTGTCTACATAGGTGTAGTTGTTGTTTTCTCGAACTATTGGTTTACCCTTACTTGTGGTCTCAACGGTCCTCGATTGTGAGAAAATATGGAGCTGAACTTTTGTCAACTAGTCTGCTAAAAACAATGAGAAAACTAAAGTTGAGAATTTTCATGGTAAAATTTCCCGCATTTGCAATAAAAAAAGAGAGATTTATATCTTTTGAAAAATTAGAAAATTATGACAAAAGAAATTATGGCAAGTGTAATTATGGCAAGTGTAACCATTATGGCAAGTGTAACTTATGGCAAGTGTGACTTATGGCAAGCGTAACTTATGGCAAATGTTACTTATGGCAAAGATATTATGGCAAGTGTAATTATGGCAAAGATACTATGGCAAATGAAACTGAGCCATATTTCAATATGCGTAAAACAGTTTATTTACAAAAGAACATGAAAATGAAGCTTTTATGTGAACAAAAACTTTAAACTATGAATTATCACATAATCTAAGTTTAAAAAAAGTGTTCACCATAAGGTTGGAAAGATATAAATGGGTTTACGCAAATTTAAAGTTGTGGCAAAAACTCAATTCCTCAAACTAATTTAATATTTCTATAATTTCATTCTCTAGATAAATTCATTGTTAATGATAAAAAAATGCGCAAATTCAATAATACAGTAAGAATGGCAAGAACACTGCGGATGAAATGTCGCCTTTGTTTTTCCCTCCAATAAACATGGGAATTAAGTGACGACTTTAAATATCGTCTTATACAGTGATAACCAGAAAACTCTGAAATAGAAAGACGACTTTAAACTCAAGTTATAAGGACTTAACCCTATCTCTGCTGGGGTACTTGAAAACCAGGATAAGCTGGGGGGGGGGTCAGTTTGACCCCCCCTCTAAATCCCATGTTTGATGTCCAAATATGACAAATGATACATCATTAGAAAGCTCTTGTGCTCTACTCTGCAAAAAATTTGCAAATTTGCAAAAATTGAATTTTTTATCGCAAAATCCAGTTATATAGTAAAAATGTTTGCAAAAAAAAATTTGTCCAAAAAATGAAAAATTATACATTTTTGAAAAGCCCTTGACCATGCCATTTCAAATATGCAAAAAAATTTTAAAAATTTTAAATAACCTGTTTTTTAATCAAGAAAAACTAAAAATGTGCAAACTTACTTTGACAGATTGTTTGCAAAAACTTTGAAATTTCTTTTGCAAAACTTGTGCAATTCCTTTTTCTTATGTCGAAGGCTTTCCAAAAAGCTAAATTTTATCAAAATCTGACAAGTGGAAATGGGTCAAAACAAAGATTTAGTTTGTTACAGGAAAAATCAGTCATTCAGGCAGTGTGCCTGAGAACTCAGGCAGTTAGTATTAAAGCCCGGTTTTAGACCTAAAAGGAGGGCTTTGGGTATGTAGGAAAAGTCAGAAAATTTCAACAGCCTCAGACCAATACTTTTTGAGTTATGTAAGGAATAGGGTTTAACAAGTTCAATGAACATTATACACAGCAACTTTACAGTGTAAATAGACCCTTTTCTCTTAAATAGTGCTTTTCTAAGTTACTAGTAATTGAATATTTGCTTTGTAACAACATCAAAACGCTTAAGTTGTGTTATAATGTCGTCTTTCTATTCTATTGTTTTCAGGTTATCACTGTATCCATGTGTCATTTTTTCATGAACACAATTATTTCAATTTTCCAGTTTACACATCTTATTTCGAAAACGCCTGGTCTTGAGATTTTCAAAACGTTGTCTACCATTTTTGTATCTTTGAAATTGGCAGAGATATTGCAAAACTTAACAAATTTCAATTCATTTGATAAATCAAAATTGTCTAGAATATCTGATATCTTCCTCAATTTTAAGACAAAAAAGAGCCAAACCACTTTATGAAAAGCTCTTCAGACGTACAACCATGTTTTTACACTTTCTTTGCCATGCCTTAAATATCAGAAATCAAAGACGACTTTAATGTCGTATCTCAATTCCCATTTTTTGGGACACCCTGTATTTCAGAAATGTGGTTGTGTACTTTTAAATTTTCAAAATTATTTCAACTGGATGTTCGGGGACCAAGTTTAATGGATTTGAACTGCCTACCGCCGGTTCAAATTTGAATCAACGATTCCTTAATCTTTAACTTTATATTGGTGGTTCAAAATTGAACCGTCAGTATGTAGTTCAGTAACACGTAGCTCTAATTCATTAAATTTGGTCTAAGAATAAATAACAGAAATGTCAGATTTGCAAAATATATGAACTTTTAAAATTGAAATATTTTGCCGGTAATTATTATTTGTTGAAAATGCACCAATTTAAACACGAAAATCCGCGAAAATTTGAGAACCATTTAAATAGAGATGCTCAGAGCAACAGGGAAAAGCTGCAATTGTTTAAAGGAAGGGGGGGGGACGACGCACGCAAAAAATTAAAAAATGGACAGAAATATTAATATTTTCGGTGTCCACTGTAAAAATATGAGGGAAAAAAACCTCTACCTGAGTTAGCCCCTCGGAGTTAGATCTGTCTCTTTGGTGTGCAGGACTATTAAACTAAATAGAATATAATGGATAAAAAAAAAACTTTCAAAATAGAAAAAATTATTTATTTCCATAAAATTTATTGTGATTTGATTTTATTGGGAGTGATCGCGAAAAATTGAAGGGGGTTAGGCTTACGGCGAAAAATATAATATGATTGCTTATAATCTTACTTCTATATGTTTCGTCTATAAGGAGAATATTGCTAAAAACGACTTATATTGAAGAACGTAGGGTCCACACAAATTCAGAAATATGCAATATATGACTTGAAACGTAAAATAATTTATTCAATTTCAAACAAATCATCCAGATAATACAACGTCCTAAGTCATCGATGTTTTTTCCACGCATTCGTCTTTAGTTAATATTTCATAATATTTGTTATTTCTTTTATTAATACAATGAACTTAAAACGACTTTCTTCCGCTAGGCGTCTCTGCCACATGTGATCATTAAAAGCATCGAGAGCAGAGACGTCTGGCGGCCAACTATTTCAGAGTTTTAAGTGCATTGTATACAAAACGAATAAAAATATTGTGAAATATTTACTATGTGCGAATGCGTCGAAAAATAATCGATGACGATAGGTTGTAATATCTGAATGATTTGTTTAAATTGCAACTTTGTGAAATTTATGAACACTACATTCTTTCGTATAGGTCGTTTTTAACAATTTGCTCTTTATAATCGTAATTAGATAGAAGTAAGTAGATGGTAGTATACTTACAAGCATCTATTTATATATATAGAAGTTGACAGATGAACTCCTGTATACGCCCCTGGTAGTATATACTTACATGCTTGTATGTATATATATAGAAGTTGACAGATGAACTGAAAACAGTGAGAAGATGAGATAAGCAGGTTGTATATTCAACCCAGGCTGGCCAATCTGCACTCTGCAATTAAAAATATGTATTTTTAAAATGTTGTTAATAATTTAAATTTTAAACTAAAATAATACGGTAAAACTGTGCTTATAACTAAAAAATAGTTAAAATCGGAATTTACGGCCAAGCGGGTAAACGGCGCGACACTAAATATGAGAGCGCCCAGAGGCCGTTCCTTCCATAAACTACATTGGTCGACATTTATCTATCAAATAAGAATTTAGCAAGCGACATCTAGCGGCCAACATATCGTCCCCCAAAGTACGTGAACTACACGACCAATATCTATAAAGAGAACGGGCTCTGGGCAGCGTACATTGAACATAAACCTGTGTCATGTACGGTAAAGTACAGTTTGTACTGCAGTAAAAACTGTAAAAAATGTAAAAATGAAAGATACCTTATCTTCTTCTTTCTTCTGGGATTCCTTGAGTTCCCAAAGGTTAGGAATCCAGCGGATAGCATGGCAGATAATAAAAACTAAATAAATCATATTTAAAGGGACTGTGCAGCGGATAGGATGGCAGATAATAAACACTAAATAAATCATTTTTAATGGGACTGTAAAGCGCATAGCATGGCAGATAATAAACACTAAATAAATCATATTTAAAGGGACTGTACAGCGGATACCATGGCAGATAATAAATACTAGATAAAACTAAATAAATCATACTTAAAGGGACTGTAAGCGCGTAACCTCAAGAAATCCTTCATACAAAAATGGCAATGCCCGATTCACAACAGTACCATTAAAAGCTTTGTTTGGTCAAATATGAATCAGATATCAACGTTAATAATTTCATAAAACTAATAAAACTGAGCATTTTCAATTGTGGTTTCTCAACAATAGTTACTTGCGCAAACATATAGAATATCAGAAAAAAACAGGTTTAAAAATGTTTCAACCTAGAAAAACATTATTGATAAGACAATGGAATCGAGGGTATCATTGTAAATCGGACATTGCATAGGGGGTCACTTAAAGGGTCTGTTCAAGATTTAGAAAGATATAGAAAGCTAGTGTGGTGTAAAGTTCGTGAAAAAATATAGTTCGATATTGCGATTTATGGGTCGTGAAAAATATGGAAAGATATCAGTGTTATCAATCATGAAAAGATGTAGACAGATTTTCTGGTTTATCGGTCGTGAAAAGATATGTAAAGATATCTGGGTTTATCCGTGAAAAGATGTGGACGATATCTAAGTACATTTATCATGATTTATATTTAAGTATTTTGGTCAAGCAGAGGGTGACACAAGAAAATTGGCAATATAAAAAATATAAAATATAAAAAGCAAAACTAATTTGAAAAACTTCCGTTCTACATAGAGTTGGTTTTAAAGAGACCCAAATGTAATGCCAAAAGAGGCTGTGTAGACATAATTTGAAGGTACCTTGATTTGATAAATAACGTGGAAGATAACAAATGCATGCATACTTGATCAGAACCAATGTGAATTGGACATGCCATTTCGTTTATAGGTGAGACACTTAAAATTCAGTTTACAGTCACTTTTTATATGCTTTTTAGGGATCTTTTTACAGACACCCTTGTACAATATATGTACTGTACGAGGGATGGGTACAGGGCTACTATGTAAGCCCCGCAAAATTGTTTCAAAGTCTACATGTTGGCATATGAGTATTTAAAATGACCTGACGCTACCCTTAAACGTTAGAATAGATATTATAGAAGTATCAAATAACATTTTTTAAAGAAAATATTTAATCTTTAAATAGCGCCAGGTCATTTTAAATACCCATCTGCGAATCCAGAGACTTGAAGACCATTTCGCGGGGCTCATGGCGTCCATGCAGCCCTCCCTCATTGTACCTGCTACTATAGCAAGAGATACTTGAGCCAGCTTAATCTCTTTATGATGAATATATCCATCTGAAGAACTCTGGACCCCTCCTCTCATCTTCTTTAGCTAAATAAACATATTCGAATATATATTTTTATCACAATTATTATTGATATTGATCATTTTTATAAACAAAAATTGTAGAATTCAAACGAAGAAAATGCAGGGTGCTTCGCGAAATTTGACAGTAGAAAGACGACTTAAAGTTGCCTTAGATCTTCGAAATTATTCGCGGCATTTGTACGTCAACCTACTTTTATCTAAAACAATAACAACTAAATTCCCTTAGTCATGGCTTTTCCATGCGGGGTTCAGTCTTTTTTTGTGCTTTCAATCTGGAAAAAATTAATTATATTCTTTCTGATTAAATAAAACCAAAATTGTCGAAATCTGAAAAAATTCTTTGTATCTCTGGTAATATAAAAGCAACAAAAAAATAGGCAGACCATATTTTGGACATGCCAGGGCCCAGGATAGGGTCCCTTGAAATTACGTAATTTTTCCGACCCTTCTAAAATGGTATAAATATAAGCAAGGAATTTATAACACTCCACAGCCAGCACTTTATAATTGTCTACGTCGTAGCCATTTGCTTTAATTTGTTAACTTCCCTTGAAATAATTGAATAGTATAATACAAATTTTAAACATCAGATTAACATTAACATTTACAGGAGGATTGATTAGTTTTTTTGCCAAAATACATTTTGTTTTGCCAGGGTTCGTGACTTTCCTAATGAGTTCTTTTAATCAAAAAGTCTCAAATAATCTCGAAAAAAATAAGATTTTGCCTCAAATAAACTTAATACTCCTCACTTCAACCAGCAGGGTTATAAATAGTTATTTACTGCAAGGATTTCAAATATTCCTAATGTGCTTTAATATTAAAGAAAGAAAAATGAGATGAAGGATTATGATCTAANAAGTTATAGTTTTAAAAATAACACCTTGTTTATATTTTTACCTGTCTGTATACTATGATATTGAGAACAGTAAGTAGAAGAAGGGGGATTATACCATGAACCAACAAGTTCAAAATAATCAAGTAAATCTAAAAAAATACAATATCAAGTAAACTTTCAAATTGTTCTCAATATAATGACATTTCTTTCATCAAGGACATAAAGCATAAATTCAAGTGACCCTCCATGCAAAGAAGTTAATCCCCAAATTACAAAGGTTTTCTCGAAAATTGGCTTTAGTTCGGGCTCTGTAAAAATAAATTTACTTATCCAGCCCAAGGATAGACATTTTCAATCAGATAAAGGTGTAACGGACCTGTTATTCTTTAAATGGAGGTTTCATTGATTAATAACAATACAGTTATAACAATAGATGTCGTCTTTTCAATATTAAGGGGGTTTACGTTCACAAAAACCATAGCAGAAGTCCAAAGGAGTTACGCGCATGCTCTCTCTGTCTTGCCATTCAACGCAGCATGCGGGTAATTATTTTGGGCTTCTGCCTCAGGATTATTGTGAACGAGATACCCCTAAATCTTGAAAAGACGACATCTAGTGTTCTAACTGTATTGTTGTTAATCTATGGAAGGTTCCCCTGAAATTAAAAAGAATGTAGAAAAATAGTTTTTATCCTACGTACTAAACAAAGAAAATATAGTTGAACTATATTCATAACCGCCCTCTGACATATTTTTTCTAGATCTTTCATATCAAACTACTTATACTATCTGTAAAAATAATTTGGATTCATAGTTTTGCCAAGATACAATTATCATGGGTGAAAATAATATAGTTATTTCTTCTTTCTTATTTTCCATTGCATATTTATATGATGCATTGTATGTTTCCATAAGAATTGATTAAATATATCCAGTCAAAGAAAGTGTACCCATATTGGTAGACATTATTATTGTAGAGAAATATGTGTTTATGAAGTGTGAGTCAAAACGGTGAAAAGCGAAATCTTGCATATATTATAACAATTTGTTTTTGGTTTTTCTCACTTTTGACGAATATCTATGAACTATTTTAATTTTTGTATAAGTATTCTGATAACTAGTCTCTTTAAATAAACCCCGAAACTATTTTTTACTCATAAATTAGATGAGTAGAATTTGAAATCATTAATCTATAAGTAGAAAAAAAATGCGGGAATATATAATTTCTATCACACCTGTCACTCTATGAATATTTACCTATTATTCTAATTTACCTTTTTTTAAAGAATCATATTATAAAAGGAATTTAGATATAATTTAATAAAATTGTGGATTTTCTTAATTTATGAACGGTTAAAACTAATTCCCGAAAGTTGATCAACATTTATATAATAAAAGACTTAAAAAGCAACATATAACATCTAAAATATCTGAACGTCACATGACAAATTGATATTTATTTAGAAAATAAATCAACGCTTCCTGTGACTGACAAGAAAAATTAGCAATACAAATCTACATTTTTTCTCTCATATAAAATTACTACAGACGAAGAATTATTTTAATATTTTTGAATGATAGTTGTACAAAGAATATTTACCTAGCTTAAAAGTTTTCTTTATTTTTTTTGCTTGTAAGCACAAATCTAGACCATATTTTAAAAGATTTATATATTCTAAGATATCAATTATATGGGATTGCTTAGCTTTGATATATTTATAAAAGACGACATTACTGTTTGTCTATCTTACAATACAAAGCAGGCAGTTTCACTTAAACTCCGCACCTCTACAGAGGTGTGGAGACGGTTTCCAAGATGAATTTATCAATATAAAAAAGTTATGTGATGTTTGACAAGTGTTTAGTGTGAATGAGAAGGTTGAAAATAAACATCTATAAAGAAAACTTGCTCATTATATTCACAAGTCTACCCATCGACAAAACTTGTTGTCTGGGTCTTATTGAAAGGAAAACTGAAACTGATTCCTTGCAATACAGGGATTTAGTCCAATATCTGTGTATATTGCATATAGTATATGGGACTTAATCTTATATCTGTGTATATTGCATATATAATATGGGACTTAATCTAATATCTGTGTATATTGCATATAATATAAAGGACTTAATCTAATATCTCTATATATTGCATATAATATATGGGACTTAATCTAATATCTGTGTATAATGCATATATTATATGGGACTTAATCTAATATCTGTGTATATATTGCATATATTATATGGGACTTAATCTAATATCTGTGTATATATTGCATATATTATATGGGACTTAATCAAATATCTGTGTATATATTGTATATATTATATGGGACTTAATCTAATATCTGTGTATATTGCATATAATATATGGGACTTAATCTAATATCTGTGACTTGTTTTCCTGGTAATTAGGGTAAAGCAATCAAGGAAATGTCCACTTTTTCTCTAAAAATTTGCAGTCAGATTTTGCACTGCAAATTTTATGACCCGGGTGTGAAAGTATCAAAGGCCACACTTTTGCAAATCTAAAAGCTTTTTATTTTTCACACCCATTCTGATTATACATTCGTAGCTTGATTTGCGCTTCAACCCATATTCAGTAGATATGGGCATCATATCATATCAGTAGAGGTTAGCATCGTTTTGAGAATAAGCTCAATTTTTCATGAACAAAGGTTTTATTCAGAAAAAAAAACAATTGACGAACGACATAAATTGTTTAGAAAAATGACAAAACAATTATTTTTTAAAACAAAGGAAAAAATCATATGAACGCTCTTGATCATTCATTTACGAGCAATATTTTCGAGCAAACTTTTTAAAAACAAGTTTTTATCAAACAAACGATTTTTAGAATTTTATTTGAAAAAAATATTGCTTTTTTTAATGAACGAGCGATTTTATTGAACAAACAATTTTTTAACGAACGCTTTCGCGAAACGAACTATTCTAATAACGATCGTTCAGTGAAAAAAAACTAACAAAATTAACAGTAATTTTGAGAACGAATGAAATCAATTTCTTTTTTAAGGATTGAAAAAATAAGTCGTTCACAAACAATGAACGAACGAACTGAAAAAAACGCCTAACACGCCCATCTCTAATATTCTACATTGGGAGATATGGGGGTTGGAATCCTCTCCACATATTTTTTTATCTAAATAAAAAACAGGAGGTTGTTTGATTTCCCCCCCCCCCCTCTCATACACAACAGTAATTAAGTTAATAACAGACAAGTTTTGCTCTGTTCAATTTGTAACTTTGAAACTAGCCTTTAAACCTACCGCGGAATCTGATTCAAATTTTTCTATTGGATGAAAAATAATAAGCGAATGTGACCAAAAATTCCAAACTAACGTCAATCACACATTAGATTTAAAGCTTTTTTGTACTCAATCATAATTCCTCGTTTTTAACAGAACACAAATGTTGATGAGTAAACTCGACTACTGATATCCAACAAAATAATTTGCTTTCTTATACAATTGTTTGTTAAATCAAAACTATGAAAGAACTCCACTTCTGTCTAATTTTCAGTTTTTAAAATTATCATTATTTTCTTTTTTCCTTATATTTTTAAAAATATTTTTTTTTTCATTTATTTTCTTATTATTTTCTTATATTTGATTCTGTTCCGTAATGATTAATTTGTATTAGGATTCCCAAGAGACCCTCTGGACTAAGGAACTTTAATATATTATCTTTACTCTCAGCACTATCGATCTTACTATATATATATAAATATATGAATATTATGTTCAGTACTATTCTTATTTTTTTTCGAAATTTTCGCATTTTTTCCCGCAAAATTTTGGCCTTTTATTTATCGTGAAACTTTCACGTTTTACGCAAAATGTTCGTATTTTTAGTGAAAATTTGGCATTTCATATTTTGCAAAAAAAATTTTTCGCTATTTTGCATAACCTCAATACCTTAGACTAAACATGAGAAACATACATTTTAAGAGACTTGATTTAATTCTTATTTTACAATACAATTATAATAAAAAATATTTTACCTTTACATAATTTTCATTTTCTCTGAGAGGTGTGGCTTGGATTACAGTTATCTAAAACATTTTTTGCTTTAAAATTTATATTATTGTAATATTCGTGAAAGCTGTGTGCCTAAAGGTTTATAAGTATAAGATTACTAAATATTTCAAAAATAGTTAATTGATCTAAAAATATCATTTACAATCATTTACCAAATTGACCTAATTTACCAAAATCTACTTACCGTAAGATTGTAAGGTTCTCCTGCTGGGCCATCTACCAATGTTGTATTTTCTACAGCAACATGCTCATAGAACTTTGGTATATTGTAGAGAACTAAAATATATAGAACTTTGGTATATTGTAGAGAACTAAAATATATAGAACTTTGGTATATTGTAGAGAACTAAAATATATAGAACTTATTATTTGCACACAAAGATTTGCATATTAACATGTATATACTACTTAATAATCGTGTAATTCAAATTTGATATTATTCTTTTTTTGTTATATTTACCTGAAAACATAGATATGGGTATAATGTAGTAGGTGGCCGACCAGGAGTGGGACAACTGCAAGAAAAATAATAATTTCATCACTTCTATTTATTTTTCAAAATTATTTTGCTTATTATATAGCTAACTATAACATTCCCCCAAATAAAATTTGGTGTTAATCGGTGTTAACTAAAGATAATATATATATAGATATGCAGGCAGGTATAAATTTTGAGGTCTTGAGAAAAGGTGCAAACAGCACCATCTCTGTCGTACGCATGGCATTTTATACTCTGGATTGTTGCTAATTTATCACTTTGTTTATGCGTGATAACACTAAATGCGTATTATAGTATCAACAATTTATACTGCATATTGTACTTAATGAAACAAATTAATCAATGCAAATAAAACTGAGGTAGGAATTTGACTAGACAAAGTTTAAATGTGCAAGTTGTACTGAATGGCATACGTAAATTAACGCAATTTAAATAAAAATTATGACTAAAAAGTACATCGAATCTAGGACAAAGTCCTAATAGCGGACAGGATCCGGTCGAACAATACATCCCATTCAACACTACTATGGTCGGTTGCTCCTGGCTCTTCATGGCTCACAACTGGCTCATCACCCCCTTAACCCCAAAAACTCAAAAAACTCCATTACTTTCCTAAATATGTTGCAATTTATTTGCCTTGTTTACTAGAATTCATGAATAAAAAACAGTAATTTTAATAATTCTTTAAACCATCAACCCCAACATCTTAATTGCATATTTTGGTACCAATTAAAAAATCTAATTTTATTTAAATATCTCATAAAAACCGTTTGATTAAATAGATATCACTTATTTAACAAATAAAAAATAATTTCCAAAGGTTTGTTAATATTTCTGTTTGTCTACTATATCTTTACTAAGTACAACTGATCATAACATAAACAAAACGCGTACTGTATGTTTGTGTTAACTTGAAATTTAATTTTATTGGTCAAACAGGTCCAGATAGCAACACTTGAACTATACAGGATGCAATACGCGTACTGTATGTTTATATAACACAAATGCGTATTTCCTACAGATGGCAGCAAGGGGAGAAAGGAATATAGAAAGTAATCAATTTGCTATAGATGTCTCTCCTTGCACCTTCTCTCAGAGGTTCAAAAATTAGTTGTCTGCTACAAGCAATTTAGGAAGGAGGTTTCTACCTGCCTGCATATCTATATATATATTATCTTTGGTGTTAACTATCTAACTAATAAAGTAAAAACATCGTACAAAAAAATGCTACATCGTATATGAAAAAATGAGCAAAGTGCTCTCTATGCTGTACATATCGCTTGATCTGATCGACTTGACGCGTTATTTGTTTTGAAGTCCATTGAACCACATAGAAATAGCTTTAAAGAGCAAATGTCTAACTGAGATTGTCAATGAATGAAAGATTACCTTAAAGAATGGATGGCAAACTGTTGTGTATCTTTCAATAGCTATTGCCAATGTGAGGTAGATTGATCCTAAAAATAACGTTTATCTATATATAAATTTGGCTTGTCTGTCTGTTTTGGTGTTTGGGTGTCTGTTTGTTTGTTCCAATAAACGTCCACATGGCTGAACCGATCGACCCGAATTTTGTGTGGGACATCACGTGACCACAGGGAAGGTTTATGAATGATAGAAATTAAAAAAAAATGTGTTTTAATGGTTTTTAATTTTGTAAAAAAAATTTAAAATTCTTGAGAATCCGCGAATTTTTTTTTAAAAATCCGCAAAATTTTTTTCTTCTTTGTTTTTAACTGTGAATAAAAAGAACATGTTCACAATTTAAATAGAAGCCTAGTAATAAATATAAAATAATTATAAATCATTTATTCTTTCAGATTCATTAATTTTAGTTACAGTTGAACACATTATAACAATTTCAAGTTTTTGCAATATACCCTGTAGAGTTAGTAGATAACCGTGACACCCAGTAGTTTTTAAATTTAGTGGAAGCGACCCTGTAGTTTTTTTTTTAATCTGAGGATGATACCCTGTAGTTCTATAATTCAGAGGATAACACTAGATTTATTGACTGGAAAACCTTAGGTTGGCTCAATCCCAAAACCATTAATTAGTGAGCCAACCATAACGGGGCAATAAAAATTGAGCTCAATATTGTCTAGCCAAAGAACATTAAGATAAATACTTTAAACTTTGCCAAGCAGAAACATTTGGCTTTAAATGGGGAAAGCAGTTTATATAAATTTAACTCTATCCTCCTGGATAATCCATTTTTCGTCAAATTTAAGTTTCCCCCCCTTCATTTTGCATTTATATCTGAAGTCGAATTATGCACACCGAAAAGTGAAAAGTATATGTTTGACATTTTCTGTAAATGACAGATGTTTATGTTTGTCTCGTGCAAAATCAAAAGTTTAAATGATAAAATTTCAAAATTTAAATCTTGAAGTCAAAAGCTAAGATTTAAAAGGGGTTATTCACGTAATGTGAAGAGTTGTGACACTTTATAAACCAACCGATTGTTTGGATCGGTTTTTTTAAAGAATCTAATAAACAACATTGTTTTGTGTTAAAAAGTGCTTGTAGAACTTGTAAAGTAACTTACATAAATGGATAAAACATTTTTCTCTCAAATGCCTTTTTAACCTTCAAAAGTAGTCTTAATATTAATAAATGTGCTCAGTCTCTGGATTTTCAAATTAATACATTTTTTTAAATAATTCAATTTTTAAGTTTTAAACGACAGAAAAGAGTAAATTGCGCATTTTCATTGATGGAATTGAGGATCTTAAAAAATAAATGACGAAAAACATGTTTTTTTTGTTGTTGAAAATTTTAAGAAAATTGACCGACTACATTTTGATTACATTTTGAAGGTTAAAATGGCATTTTAGAGTAAAATTATAAAACTAAGCCAGCACAATTTAAGATTTTTAGACCAATACTGTAGTTCTTCCGAGTTCTCCAGTCAAAACTTAAAGGGACTTTAATCGTATTTTCTTAAAGGAAGTGTTCGCGAAAAATGAAAGGGGTTATAGGCTTAATCCTATAAAAAAGCGCTTTTGATCGCTTCTAATCTTACTTCTATCTGTTGCGTCTGTTAGGAGAAAATTGTTAAAAATGACTAATACCGAAGAACGTAATATGGTTAATATTTCATAATATTTTTGATTTTGTGTTTTTTAAAATAATTTTCGCTGGCACTGGATTTTCTAACATTCCTGGAAAATATGAAAATATCGTCTTCATTATCAAAAATCCTCGAAACAGGAATAAATGTTTTCAAAAGTAACTCTCAGATCATGAAAAATGCAAAATATTACGAACCATACGCATAATTTTAATAACATTATAGGTTCATGCATTAAAGGGAGTGTACGCGAAAAATTAAAGGGGGTATAGGCTTAATGCGATAATAAAGCGCTTTTGATCGCTATTAATCTTACTTCTATCTGTTGCGTCTATAAGGAGAAAATTGTTAAAAACGACTCATACCGAAGAACATAGTGTCCAACAAATTCGGAAAGATGCAACATTCAACTCGGATCGTAAACAAAACAATTTAATTCCAAACAAATCATTCAGATATTACTAACAATAGTCATCGATTATTTTTTGAGGCATTCGTAAATAGTTGATATTTCATAATAATTCTTTTTGAGTAGTTTAAATTAAGTCATTAAAGCATTAAATCCTTTACAAATATTGCCTGGTTTTTATGTTGAGTGGCTACACCGATGTTTTAAAGTCTTAAACGTCAGGCTTTCTAGTACTGATTTTTTAGTATTTATCTTATGTTAGATATTAGATACTTTCATCAAATAATCTAAATATATCAAATGTGTATACCATCAGGGTTCAAAGATAAAGATATTTAGCCAATTTGAGTTTGTGGTTAAGACTGAATTCCTTTAAAGGTAAAAAGTGGGTAAACAAAAGTAAAGCAGATTTGAATCCTTTTAATTTCCACTGAAAAGTTAAATATAAGAATCCCTTCGTTATAATCATATTTCGACAAGTCTAAAAAACAGTCTAAAACAGTGTTTTTTAGCAGAAGAGCATCTGAAATCTTTAACCATTTTCCGACTGAAAGGGGGTTACCGTTACCCCCCCCCCCTTGTTTTTTTTTGTGATAATGGTCTGTAATGTAATGGTCTTAGGCTGTTCAAATTTTTGACTTTTCAACCTTGTGGATGCCGCTCATTTTATACCTACTGCCTGAGTCTACTGCCTGAATACCTCATTTTAGCTTTACCAGACTAAATCTAAATTTAGACCTACTTTCAGTCACTGGATTTCAACATTTTATAGCTCTTTGGAAGGCCTACACCACAAAGAGGCAGATTGCACAACTTGTGCAAAGAAATTTTTCGTAGATTTTTGCACAGACGCCCTTAAAGGGAATTTGCACAATTTTAGTTTTTCTTAAACAGGCCTTTAGGTTTTAAAAATTTTGCTAATATTTTTGCATATCGGAATTTGCTGGGTCACAGTCTTTTCAAAATGTATAATTTATCATGGTCAGGTTTGCCCACATTTTGGTTTTGCACATTTACCTCGATTTTGCAATAAATATTAAAATTTTTGCAAATTATCAAAAAAAGTTTCAGATTATTAATGTGGAGCCTAAGGGCTTTCCAAGCATGTATCATACGTTTTAGATTGTATTGTATTGTATTGTATAGTATTGTATTGTATTGTATTGTATTGTATTGTATTGTATTGTATTGTATTGTATTGTATTGTATTGTATTGTATTGTATTGTAGGTGTAATGATCCAAATGAGTCCATCTTTACAGGGTACACCAGGAAAAAAGATTCTCTCGACTTCTCTACCAGGTGAAAATTCAAACAGCCAGAGGTTGTAACTCATCGGCTTAAATATCCCCCTCTGCTATACAGTGAACAAATTAAAGTCAGATGAGCGGATCTAAATCAACTCAGTTCAATTCAAAAATAAAAAATACCCTAATTTCTGTTAATTAAAAAGTAGCCGTTCGTTATCGATCTTGATCTTTTAACGGCATTAACGGTAGAGATAAGAAATATACGTAAAGGGATTATAGAGTTTGTTCACGAGTGAAGGTTTTCTGGTTATAGAAGATACAAAAGTCGAAATTCTAATTTTTTTTTTTATAATTTTACGTCATTTTTTTCCCATCAAAACTTCATTTTGATCGAACGTTGACCAGACTGTATACAATTGTTTTGGGATAGTTTTCCTCCTGCCGGCCTATATCAAAAATTTAAAAAAATATTTTTTAGAGAGATGCATCCTGATCCAACTAGAGTATTCTCCGTACCAGAGAGGGAGAACTCAACTTGTCTACAATATATTATTTCCCCTTCCCCTATTTTCTGCACTTCTCTTTTATTAGCCATTTTAGATCATTTGAATTTGGATAAGATTAACCAAAATGTTTTTTAAAAAGATTTAAAACGTTTGCCCCGAATTTTTTGATCAAATATTGAAAGATATATTTAGTGAATTTAAAAAACACAAACTAACATTTGTTACACTTTAAGACAAGACTCCTTTCAACCCAGGAGTACCATCAGTTGTCAGTCTAGATGCCAATCAAAGGAAATCAACCATAAATTAAAATATTTTTTTAATATAAAATTTTGATCTGAGATTTGTTCAACAGCAAAATCGGAATCCTTTTTCTGCAGATTTTACTGTTTGATTTAATAATTGTTTGAATTGACCAGAGATCCCTGTTTGATCCAATACCTGGATATGTTCTTGTACCTACAGAGGACCTGGAGGAAGCAGACCTGGCTAGAGGTATAACAAGGGTAGATATTTTCGAGGAATAATAAATCCTAATTCAGCATATAAACCTCAAGTGCTTCAATATTAATATTAATGATCGGTTCAGCCGTTTTGACGTTTATTGGATACAAACAGACAGACAGACAGACAAGCCAAATTTATATATAGATTGTAGTCTTAGATTTTCATACATATAGATAGTTATTAATAACCATATATTGTTTAATCTTAACATTTTTTTAAAAAGTAAAAATGCGAAAGATTTCAATATTTTTATAGTGTTAAATTCATTACTGTGAAAAAGTTGGGTAGGTTCAAATTTATGTGATAATTATACTGTGACTTTGTGACTTCATGGCTCCTATAGTTTTGAAATTGTGGTTGAAGTTCTAAACATGTTTTTTTTTTTTTTTCAAAAACTTTTTGAAAAGAGGTTTTTAATTGTATATGTACTTGAAGTTTACGAATCAATGTCTGAAAAGGTCATGAAGCACTATAGTTTCAGTAAAAGTAAATATTTCCAAATAATAATAGCGTCGATTAAAAGATTCATCTCTGATTGGATAATGAGATAGATAAAAAGATAGATAGATTGGTTCAGAATATACTACAGACACATAACTGAACCCTGATTGGATCAAGCGCTTATGGACTCTGCATACAAGAGTGGAAAAGAAACCACAATTAAAAATAATCAACTTTCAGAGAAAAAGAAAAAAAAACAATTAATCTATTCAACATGATTTTATTTTTCATAAATGAAAAAACTTTATTACAAATGTTTTTAGTTATATCAAAGTTGTGTTTGTAAATATTTGTAAATATTAAAAAGAGGTTTAGGGATTTATGTAAATAGGTTCAGAGTTTTATTTTGAAACTAATGTTTGGACAGAGGATTTTCTTTATCAGTATTTTCCCAATATGTTTTCACACGAAATTGAAACAAAATTTGAACCGACATCCCTCCTGACGTACAGCTCTAGGAATTCAATAAGGTCAAACAAACAAGAGGGTACGAGGTGGGGGGCCCAGGGTGCACGGCCCCCCTCAGGGGGGCACGCATAAGGGGCTCATTTAATATTATACATCTGCTTGCATTTTCCACCCTCAGGCAATCATACAATCTACATGGCATTGCATCGCATTGCATTGCATTGCACTCACCCAAACTAAAAGATTAAGATTAAGCTTTGTCTGCTAAAGTATTGCATTGCAAATATCATGTTTTTCATTTTGAAAACTGATTATTTTTATTTGTGGTTTCTCTACAAAAGTGACTCAGTATTTCTTGCTTCCAAAACGATGGAGAAATAAAGGTTTCAAAGGTACATCGGACATGCCACTCTATAAATGGACGGTCACTTGAAATTACGCATGTATTCCAATTAAGTATAATAAATCATCATATAATAAAAAAACTTTAAAATCTCACTTTTGCCCTTAACTAAAAAGTTTTATTAAAAAAGCTTTAATCAAAACACCCTTCAGTGTAAATATAAATTTGATATCATTATTCATAATACAATATATGTATCATTTCCATGAAAATATAGATATTTTAAAAGAAACGTTTCCATCTCAATTTTTCACCCATTAAAGCTTACACAACACTCACAGTATTGAGAGGGAGTGTTTGATGAGCCCACTTAAGAAAATTACATAAATAATTTATTAACCCTATCGAATAGTTTACCTGAACATATAGTTAAAAAAGGAATAAATATTTTTTCAAAAAAGGGGGTTTTAAGGGGTGGGGATGTTGCCAAAAGGGGTCACCAACAATTATTTTTGGCGCGCAAATAGTGCCCCCCATGCACAAATGCTCTTGTACTCCCCTGTAAACAAATATAATCTGGTTTATCAAGGTGTACTTTGGTTATCGACCGGAAGATTAACGAACGGCAAAACCCATTAATTATGAAATTGTTATCAAATGAAAATCACTGTTTATTAAAGAAAGAAAAACGGAACATAAAAAAGAACAAACGGATTATTTTAAAAATTAAGAGAGAACCTTGTTAAAATTGCATGAAACTTCTAGTAAATCAAACGCAATTCCGAAAAAAACGTTTCTTTCAAAAGGTTTAAACATTTTTTCGAAAATTCTTGTTCGTGTCCAGGGAAGTATGGACGTGTAAAAGTGGCATGGAGCACCAATAATTACCTTTCATAAACGCTGGGTATTCCGAATAGAATGATAGAGAGAAGAACGTAGACAGCATCAGATATAGCCAGGGTTAGCATCAACCGATGGAAACTTTTCTGAACCTAAAATAAAATAAATATGATAAATATGAGCTAGGGTGAAGCTTTTCATTTTTCCAGGAATAAATCTCCATTAAGGAAACAGATCGATCGGGAAAATATTCCCCTAAAGTGGAATTCCGGCAAAATTTCGGACACAATATAAGGCAATTTTGCTGTTTCCATACCTTAAAACAGAAATTTTCATTCCTTTAACCAGAAATTTTCAGTTATCATTCCTTAAAGCGGAATTTTTCCAGTTTTCACTCCTTAAAGTGGAATTTTTCCAGTTTCCACTCCTCAAACCGGAATTTTTCCAGTTTTCATTTTTTGAACTGGAATTTTTCCAGTTTTTATTCCTTACAACGAAATTTTTTCATTTTTCATTCCTTTAACCGGAATTTTTCAGTTTTCATTACAATAAACTGGAAAACAAGCGTTTATAAGAAATAGGGTATTTTTCCTTACTGTACTCTCATATTGATGCACCCTCATAAAGCACACCAAATAATAAATCCACTTCTAATATATAAAATAAATTCTGTTAATGATTTACTGTAGTTTTGTATGTATATATATATATGTTATTCTTTTACATTAAAATGTACATTAAAGATATTAATAAGAACTCTGGACATTTACATTTTACTCTGCAAGTTTTTTGTAATTGTTCCAGTTGCATTTTTTTGGGGTTGGAATGGTTTCAGGGTTTTGGCTCCGGAAAGAATATTTAACCAAAATGCAATAAATCTTCAGAAATATTCAGTAAAAAGATGATTTATCTAGTATATTCTTCCTTTTACGTTTTTTAAATTGAATTGTGATGTATTTATAATATTTTTATCAAACGTTATAATTTTTCATTTTTATAATAGAGAAATATGACAAACCTAAATTCTTTCAATTCTATAGTTGCGACAAGTAATTTTGAGGACAACAATTGATATTTGACAATTTTCTTTTATAAAAAGAGATTTGAAATCATATCAAATTTTAAATGTTCAATGCCCGAATCACAACGGTAACCTGAGAAAAGGAAATCGTCATTTGAAATAAATTATCTCAATTGTTTTTCTGCATTTATCCGCGTGTCGAATTTTAGTTTTTAGTTGTCTTTGGAGAGAACTAAAATGAAAAGAATAAAGAGAATAAAGATTCAGAAAGACAAACATGCTGTAATAAATATAGAGGACTAACTGACTATGTCTACAGTCCATTTAAAT